ATTGTCGTGATCCGCTTCAGCTGCGGCGTCTCAGTATACCGCGTGTTGTAGCTCGCGGTATACTGAGCTTAGGGTGACGGGAGGACGCTAGTTTGTGTCCTCCCGTTACCCTTCGGAGAACTATGGGGAAAAGCCCTAACGCCATAGTTCTCCTTTAAGGCATATCTTTGCATGTCAAAGCAAAAGCTTAATTTTAATGCAGACCTCCACGTATACTATTTCCTATTTGTTTCTCCATCGCCCCAGTCAGCTGTTAGAAGCGAGCCCTGTGTAAACTCCAAGTCACTAAATTCAGGTCAAACAAGGCTATGGTCTGCCTTGTGACAATGATGATTGGCCTACTGCTGTCCCATTTTTCTCATACCTGTAAGTATGGTGTATTTCCTTCAGATCCTGGAAGGGTGGGAGGTTAAAGCGAAATCACATATTTACTTTAAGCCTTCTGACATGCTGCTAGGGGTTCCCAAGACATACAAAGAATAAAGAACCTTGCATCTTATATCTTTGTTTATCATTGGTTGAAGCAGTAGTAACCACCACCAATGAGCAGGTAAAGATGATCTAATATGCATTAATAGTTAACAATTTAATATATTTGGAAACATTCCAGAAGCTGGACATCACACTATCACTGAATATCTGCGTACAACTCTGCTATAAGGTTACTACGAAGCTTTACATTATTGATTTACTTATTGGGTTGCTAGGCATACCATATAAAGGCCAACTCCAGGACCATAACTTAAGCCATAGATGGATTTGCCCTTCTACTTGTCTTAAACAGTTGTAGTACGTGCCTACCACTTTTAGATTCTTATCCAGTGCCAGGTTGTGGGCGGAAAAGAATGGTGCACAAAGCTGTGATGTGTGGTGCCACTATCGGACTTCAGTCCCCAACATAACAAGGTCCCTCCTAGAGCTGGGAGCATATGCCAGGAGACCAATTGGTGTTATTTGGGGAGTTGTCACAAATGTCTACTATGAATGCAGTTATCACGGCACCTCCTGCTATCAGGAGACTAGAGGAGGCATGGCCATGGCAACTTGTGCAAAGAAGAAGTTTGACAAGACTGTGCCTTATCCAACCGAGACATAGGCATCTGTTATGCATTTACAGAGCTTCACAGTGCCACACGGCACTGAGGAGAGGATACATTGTGCAGTGAGAGCTGCAATTTAGATTTCAGTATGGATTATAGAATTAGAAAATGGAGTCGAATGGGGAGACTGGAGTTGGGCTTTAATACTTCCAACCACTATACTACAAATGATAAATATTTTAGCTTTTGTATTCCTTTTTATTTATCCTCCAGTACAGGAGTAGCCAAACCCCGGCCCTCCAGCTGTGCTGAAACTACAAGTCTCATGATATATCGCTCTCCGGGAGTCATGTCTGTGGCTGTGAGAATCTTGCAATGCCTCATGGGATTTGTAGTTCTACCACAGCTGGAGGGCACCATTACATGGCCTTTATATACTTCTGCTTGAAGGTGCCCCTACACATTCTGTTTTTTTGCTGTAATGCGGTATAATTTTGCCTCAAGCTGTTTTATTACAAATGCTCTGGCGATAGTGGTTTTTATTAACATTACACGCCGTAGCTGGAGGAAGTGAAGGGAGCCCATGGAGCCGAGCTCTCCAGCCTGCACAAATATTCTTTTATGCATCTATTCTGGAAAGAAAACCCCGGCATTAGTTGTTACAGATTGCTGTAACATGTGAAAGCTCCTGCTGACAAAGTGCCATGTTTAAAGAACTCCAGGCAGATATCTTAAACAACTTTTAGTTCAGCTGTATATTCTTTAGAAGTCACACAACTCATTTTTCCCATTTTGCTTGAACAGTAAAACAAATGATGGCTTTATTTAAGATGCCGCATTGCAGCTGAAAGCTAAAACTGTCTCAAATGCAAACACCCAGGTCTGAGTATGTAGTGATGATGTGTTTCATCTTTAGCAGCCACCTATCTCTTAAGACTAGTCCACCTACCCCAGGACTTGTACTATATACTCTGCCGGTGGATGTTGCTACAGACCCCTAAAGTAAATGCAGCATAGGGCAGTGAAAGGTGAGATCGGAAGTAGAAGAGGAATCCAGGAAACGTAATGAGAGGTCAGGGGCGGCAGCAGACAAAGAAGTGTCTAGAAAATGTAGCAAAAGGTCTTGGTAGGTTAGCAGGCAAGCGGGAATCCAGTAAATGTAGCAAAAGGTCAGGGCAGATAGCAGACAAAGAGGTATCCAGAAAACGTAGCCGAGAGTCAAGACAGGTATCAGACAAGCAAGAATTCAGACAAACGGCATAGGGTCACCAGACATGCTCCTAAGGCCCCATTCACACCTATGCGTATTGTAATATGCGCGTCTGTCGCGCGACCGTCACGCGTTTTTTTTACCGCGATTCGCGGTAAAAAAGCCGCGCGACCGTCGCGCGATTCCAAAGGCTACTTGGCAGTATACTAATGGAAAACGCCCTACAAAACGAACCAATACGCAGCAAAAAACGCTTCGGGACCTTTTCATGCGTGGGCCGTTTTGTAGTGCGTTCGGGACGGGCGGAAATACGGACAGGTGGGAACGAGGCCATTGACTACAGTGCTATTTATTTTTTTGACCGTTTTGTAGAGCGTTCATCGAGCGTAGGACGCGCTACAAAACGGTCAGGTGTGAATGGGTCCTAACATAGACTTTGCAGTAGGAAGGATGTTCTTGTACAATGAACGCCGAAAGAGCGCGCTCGTGTGGGTGT